TTCTCAGCAAGAATGTCCTGGGTTTTTAATCCTGGTCAGAACAAGGCCTACCTGAGTGGAGTTTGCCTGATCTCCCTGTGTCTGCGTAGGTTTCCTCTGGGTGCTCCGGTTTCCCCTACCACTAAAAACATGAACAACAGGTGTCAATGCAACGAGTGAGTGAATGGATAGTGTTGATCATGGGCTTTGATGCTCCAGTGTGTTCGACGTCTCGCTTCCGTCATCATCGTGTGTGGAGAGAATGTAAAAATATATGAACTCTGAACATTGTAAAGCGCTTTGGGAGACCTTGGTCTGTAAGTACTTATGTAATTTTCCGCCATTTACATGTGGTCTACTGCCCCGGAACAAAACGCAATGGTTAAAGGCATTATGAAGCTGTATCCATTACTGGCCTCATGCTTAGTGATCTTTTCATTCTAAAGATCAAACCTTTTCTACTGGTGCAACTTTAACAATAATGACGCATTTTTAATTGGATACAGTTGTTGTTGTTCATGCTTTGAATCAAACATACATGAAGACCAACTCCAGTCATCTTGTCCTGTGTGCACTGCTTTGTTCTCCATCCATGCCAGGAGCGGTGCTGTTTTCCTGCAATAACATCACAAAGTCTCTCATCGCCCTTGGCATCAGTTGACATTTAAGAACAATAGATCTGTCTTGTATTTGTTTGGTAATTGGTGGTAAAAGATTATAGCTGTAGCTTTAATACTTGTGATTTATTCTGGGCTTTTCCTGCTGCTAAAAAAACAGCATGTTATCTGTTTGTCAGAAAGTGAGAGAAAATCTATGAATCAGACGTAAGCTTGTGTTGTAAGTTACACCTTCAGGAGAACAGGGAACAAAGTGTCGGAATGGAAAAGGGGAGGGGGGGGGGGGGGGCGATGATGTCAATTGCACCAGTAGAAGGAGTGTGTGAGTAAGGTGAGGGCTTATTTATTGTGTAGCTATATCCGAACTGCGCCTGTTTCTTTCCTCTGGGCATGGAGTTACATGCAAACTACGTCTATGCATAAAAAAAGTGTTAGCAAATGTGATTGGATGAAGCAAGGTGGAGTTTATGGTTACAAAATAGTGACGCACACAAACCCACAGCTTCCAGAGCCCTTTTTCTTATGAATGAAAGTAGGAGGGACTAATATATATCTATTGAGTCCCACCTTCTTTACTATGGGCTTGACCGACGTGAGGACGGTCCAATAAAGAGGCAGATTTGGATGTCGACAAAGAAGGTGCGTCATTGACTTTTTTTTCCTATCTATTTAAAAGCCCACAGTGGCAGACCAATGGGAATGGGAAGGGATGAGCTTTGAAATTCTGCTTTCTTCCTTATATAGACATGCCAAGCTGCGTGTAAGCGAGGGAGTGTTGGGCTGTCATACCCTCACTTACCGATGCAACACTTCTTATATTTTGCTTTGTTGACTTGTCTGCACACAATCCAGTCTGGCAGACATACTGACGGGTTAAGGACTTCGGTAGGAAACAGAAAACAAAGGAAAGGGTGATGAAACTAAGGCGGATGACCTCAAACTACCAGACACCACCGTCAATGGCTGATGAAGTGGCATAATGGGTATTATTTTGATGTGTGGCTGCAATTATGTCCCACTAGTAGTGCAATAAAGGGCATGATCATGTGACTTAAGCTCATTTATGCATAAGTTAGAAGTGTGTGTTGGTGACAAAAATGTATTGTTTAGCTCTAATTATAATGCTTATTTATCATTGATTATTTCTTATTTATTTCTTTTTTGTGTGTGTTTATGTGCATCTATGTCAACATAATTAAAAAAGACATAATTTAATGTTTATATATATATTCCACTGAAACTGAAAACTTGTACTGTAATGTTCTGTACGATCAACTGAAATGATCTTACTGAATATTATCCACTCAATACAATCATTTTCATAAATAGTAAAAATGTCCATACAATTGTAAATAAAGTTGTAAATATCTGTATGAATATAATGACGCATGGTGAAACTGTTGAATACGGCTGAGTACATGTATATTTTTGTATGTGTCATATACTGCATGTATATGCTATATGTACAGCAGATGAAAATGCCATAAATGTAACTATTTCTGCTTGAATTTATTAATAATTAGAAACAAATACAGGAGCTGAGATCTTTCAGTGGGGGCTTCAGGCAAAGTGGGGTTAAGTGTCTTGCCCAAGGACACAACGGCAGCAGTCATCAGTGGGAGTTGTGAAGTAGGTCTTATGGTGGGACCTCCAGGCTCGAAGGCCAATGCTCTACCAACTGAGCCACTGTCGCCCGTATAATGTCCTTTATCATATGTATAAGGTAATGTTATGTATTGTATCAAATGAATGCACTTACACTTGCCCTGTAAATAGTATATATTTGAACATAAGTGAGACATACTGGAAATTGTAGGAGTGATGGAATAATGAACACTGACGTCCAGATCTCATTACTTATCAAATCTGCGTTAAGTGCATGTAATAATAACTGTGAAAATAGCTGAGATCACATTGAAATATACCACAGTGACACATTACCCACTCCCAGAGATAATGAAGTGGTAGTATTTCATTCATATTCAGCACACAACACTACACACTATCATAACCATGACACAGAGAGTTCAGGGCTTGTTTGTATTACATAAAGAAAAATAGAATATATATGATCAAATATTGCATATTCGATGGATCTATCTAACATCTCCATGAATTTAATGAATGATTAGAACGTTTATATGAGCCCCATACCCCAAATGATGTGCTTTGTTCTACAGTATTCATGTTGTGATTACCCATTACCACAGTTTGAATCATATATTTTAAAATCATGACCCTAGTTTTAAAGGTGATTATTTCTATCTATTGCATTTTTGATAACATGTGTAGTTTGTTTATCTAATATATGTATCTATTCTTATGTTATACTGTTTTTTTTCTGTTAGAGTAAAAGATATGAATGTTTATCACACCTAATGTTACGAACCTGAGAAACTGGACAAATGCCTGAAGGACAGTGCTACGCCGTGTGCATGTGGGTGCTTGAACAACCGCCAAAGACATAGAATGAACTCCCACACAAATGGCTTCTGATAAAACAAGTATGAATTTATTTTCTTTCTTTCAGTAGAACCTCTCTGTTAGAATCGTAAAAATAAACAATTACGACATTCTGCCATATATTGTCTGATACAAAACATTGGACGTACACAGTGAACGAGGACAAACCATAGGAAATAATGGTATAACTGGCACTTTGGTCATCTGACAGCGACCGCAACGTCCTGGTCACTGAAGAGCACCCTTGCTCAGTTTGAACCTCACCTACCACACTCGAAGAGACAGGACACTGAATATTCTCTTAAAGCCATACAGAGTGAAGTTATTTGTACCCAAGGCCACTGCTTCTTGTTAAACAATTTCTCCTACACATAGGCTGAGACAGGTCAATTGTGTTGGAGACCCGACAAGTCCTTGAGGAAATTGAATGGACAAGAAGAAAATACATTGGTATACATTGTTTCAAGGGTCTATCATATGGGGATCAATGCTTGAAGATTGGTGTCTACAGCTGACGTCATTCTTCAAGTGTTGATGCGCATAACAATATTTGCCCTGATTTACTCTGCCTTGAAAATGATTGCTATTTTTAGACCCAAATCTGACAAGCACTTTGGCTGAAGTTTTGTTTTCACTTGTAAGCCCTTCATCTGCAGTTCTTTCATCATGTAAATCCCTCAGAATCTCCCGAACGTATTGACAAGCCAGGCCAATTTACACCTCGGCTGCCCATCTGGCAAAGCCTATTGATGAGTCAAACGAGTGACAAACTTCTGACGTATTTGCCTTTTGCTGTGATGCCAGCCTGTGAATCCACACATGGACAGATGCCCAGAGCTATTCTGACCAGCGCTGGCCGTGACTGTGAGCCCATGTGGTGAGACCTTTCGACCACTTTAGTCAGGATGGGATCATCAGTATGGGATCATCAGTATGGGCTGACAATCTGGGGGTCTTGTATTTAAAGTCTCTGATGAGGCTGCGTACAAGTGAACCAAATGAGTAAAGAAAAGTATGACAACATGGGTAAGGAAATATTCAGAGTTTTATATAAAGCTCTTCAAGTCAACAATCGTAACACTTTATAGCAATATGTCACAGAAAGACATCCAAGATACAAATTCCCAGCTTCCAGCAGGAAGCATTCTTTCCCAGTGGTGGTGTCAGGGACACCATATTTACAGAGAGTTTTGGATGATGAATGGTTTTATTACTTTTAAGCTGCAGGATGCTGCTTCTACTGCCAGCACTGGCCCTCTGTCTCTGTTACTCACTGCTTTCTTATTGCTGCATTACTTTTTTTCTATATCTCTTTTGACATAAACATGCCAAATTACATTCTCTTGTGCAATCTTCCTTTAACTCACTTTGTCCTCACGGCCCTGTGCATTGTGCTCTGTCAAGTAGAAGCACTAAGCCTTCACAGTTTTCAGGATCAGATTTCTAAATGGTTAACATGTGCTGGACTACACAAACCATAATCACACAATACATATTTACACAACACTTTAAGTGGTTACAGTATAGTCATTACTGTGCTCTGATTATTACAGTAATCAGTTTGTCTCCAGCAGCCAGTCAGTGGATGTTGTCACTGTTTGTACTTGGTCTTTAACTAGTTTGAGGTGCAAAAGATCGTTCTCTATCAATTGGTGCTGACGTTACCACGGACTCAGCTCTCTTGCCCCCTGATTACAGGGAGTAACGACGCTTAGCGTCTAAAGTGAGGCTCACCTGTGTCTGATCTAAGACAGCTGAAGAACTCTTAGCAGCTTCTGTTAGTGTAAAGCCCTGTAAGCGCTAGATTCACAATCTAACTGTCCCCCCATCTCCTTTGCTGCACCTTTACTAAAGGTCTAAAGCAGAGCAGGCAAAGGGGGTTTAAGTCTGACAGGGTCCTGCAGCCTTTAAAACAGGCCAGAGGAGAAGGCTAAGAGTCATTCAGCCAAAGAGCAGATGGAGGCAGGCTGTGAGTAAAGACACGGAGAGGATAGACAGTGCAGAGGGCGAGGCAGAGGAGTTGGGAGGCAGGTCAAACTCAGGCGGACACTCAAGCTCAAAGCAGCGCACCGTAATGCCAGAGTCCTCATTGCCATAGTTGGCCCAGTACTCCTCTTGGTCTAGTTTAGGCAGAGCAAGCTCCTCCTCTCCCAGCTCATACTTGACTACAGAGGTGGTGCTGGAGGGCCCTTTGCCGTAGAGACCGGCCTTGACTGTCTCCGATGCCTTCTCAAACACGCCTTTACTGGACGACTGGGGCTTGTTTTTGTGGAACCACCAGCGGGTTTTAGTGCTGAAGGTGGTGGTGGTGGAGCCAGCGATGGAGCCGGGGTCGGGCAGGGGGCAGAGAGCAAAGTCCATTTCCCGGAGGAAGCGCATGTCCTGGTTGCGACGGGCGGAGGGTGAAGCACAGATCACTTCGGATGATGAGACATGCACCTCACGAAACCACTCCCACACGGGCCTCGCCTCACAGCCACAGGACCAGGGGTTGGCATTGAGCCGGAGGAACTCGATGCCCTGCAGGTCTCGTAGCGTCTGGCCAGGTAGCTCAGCCAGAGAGTTGTTGAAGAGGAACAGCATGGTGAGGCGGCCGAGGTCTCTGAAGGCTCGGCGGTTCACCTGGCGAATACGGTTGTCATGGAGAAGTAGCCGGTCCAGGTTGACCAGGCCACGGAACACGTTTTCGGAGAGTGTGCGGATACGATTGCCGTGAATAAAGAGCTGGCTTAAGTTGATCAGATCGGAGAAGATGTCATCTTGCAGAAAGTGAAGGTGGTTCTCCTAAAATACAGAATAATGTTTGGAAAAGTTAGTGGAATGATCTGTTAAGGTGTTATGTACAAAGGTCTGCACTGCCTTGTCAAGTTTTCTGATCAACAACTTCATCTTACACTTTTCATCCACACATTCAGTGATTAAAAGCTGTGCTGTTTGGACTTGCTTGCCTTGGTGCAACATGTGTGAGTCATTATATCACGTCTCAACAGCGCCCCTACCTGTAAATAGAGGAACTGCAGACTGTAGAGTTTGTGGAAGATGTCATGGGGCAGCGCAGTGAGCTTGCAGCGATGCATGTGGAGGCTCTGGAGTTTATCTAAGCCACGGAAGGCTCCCCCCTCCAGTCTGTGGAGGCTAGGATTGTCCCCCAGGTCCAACTCCTCCAAGTCCCTCAGCTCACTGAAAGCCCCAGCTTCAATCCACGTGATGTTGTTAGAAAACAGCCACAGGACCTGAGCCAAAAAGAAAATACGTTAGAATTTCTTACAAATACATGTGATGCTCTTATATTTGCTTTTTTATGTTTTGACTTTAATTCTTATGTTACTGTTATTATTGTTGTGTTTTTCCCCTTTTACATAAAAAATCAAAGCATCAGAATATATATATCCAAATATGTTTCTACAAGTAATATAAGATAGATAGACTGTATTAATATCACACTGGAGAAATGTATATGTCACATTTGGCAAAGATATTTTGCACAACCTGAGTGACCCACTCAGGTTGTGCAAAAAGACAGAATATACAAGAACGTATTTCATTTGGTTAGAATATAAATCCATAAATCCATAAATTCAAGATTACAATTTCAAATTGTGCGAAAAAGCCTTGCAGAGCGCGTCCAAGACACAGGTGATTACAAACCTCTCATGCAAACTTCTGAGCGGGCGTCTCTGGTTTGAGGAGCTTCAGGAAGATGAGAGCAAATAAACAGTTGGAGCGGTGCTTACCTGAGTCCCAAAGCCAAAGGAGCCAACTCTGAGCTCCGTGATCCTGTTGTTTTGGAGGAATACGCGCTGTGACTCGTAGGGCACTCCCACGGGCACGGCAGTGAAGTTCTGCGCCTGGCAGCTCACAGTCATCGGTGTCGGGTAGCACACGCAGTTCTGCGGACACGCAGACACCGGACTAGGCTCGCCGAGAACCATCCACACCACCAGCCACAAGGAGAGACCGCCTGCAGAGACAGAGCGGTGAGTTTCTGAGCGCGCAGACCCAAGCACAGAGCGCGTAACACAGGTTTACTATCACTGCATTTGTTCACACATTTTAGCTTATCAAGTAAATCAGGAATATCATTTAAGTCTGTCCATTAAGATCCACAGCCAGCAATATAAACCAGATCTAGTAGTGCGCTACAATTTCCAATGAAGAAGCCTTTTACGCACAGCGCAATCTACCAACAAACTAAAATACTTATATTTGTAAAAGTATACAACTAATTAATTCGACAAATGCTACCGACTTTGTAGTTTAGAACAGCACAGGACACTAACAGATGAGAGTAAGCACCTTTTGAAACTGTGCGTAAAGATGAAAATACTGTGAACTGTGCGTTATGCAGCTTACAGAAATAAAAAGCAAGAATCTGAAGAAATTCACATCTATGATACTTCTTTCTTATTCCTTTTGGAACTCTGCAAACAAGTTGTAAAGTGCATGGTCCAGTGCACCCAGAGCCAGAGAAGCCACAGACAGACTTACTTTTGCAGTTGCGCAAGATGGAGCATCGTCGGCTCCGAAAATTCGAAGAGGTTTCCATCCTGAACCAAAAGCCCAAAGCGAGTTAGCCTAAAAGACCAAAAGTAAGCCTGCTATCTCCGCTGAAGCCCTGGTTCCCGAGTCGGAGCGACTGAGAGAGTGATGTGTGCCACAAAGTCCTGGGCATATATACTGCACCATGCCGCTCGCGCCTACGGCAGTGGGCACCGCGGAATCTCCTACGTCACGGCCCGGGGTCAGGACGGCGGTGCGGGCGGAGGGGAACGGAAAGGGGCGGGTCTGACCAAAGGGATTCTCTGTGGAGCGCCTGCGTGTGCGCATTGGCTGAATGGTGAGGAGGAGGAGACTGCAGACGCACGGATGAGCGCACGGAGATGGGTTGGAGAAGAATATGAACGTTTCCTGAATGGTGCTAGCAGAGACTCTTATGGTCCGCTTCCGGTGAGCTTGAGCCAGACCAGAGATTCAGAAATGAATTAGATGGTTGTGTGTAGAGAGAGAAGGGTGCCCCTGAAAATGATTCAGTCACAAAAGACAGGCCTGTGCCAGGGTGAGCTGTCCTTCAACTTTGTGATTATGTATGTTCAACTCCAGGGAACTGTCAAATCGATTTCAATATAACTCTTGACATAATTATTGATGAAAAGATTCACTATTGGACTCAATATCACTGAGTGGACAGTCATAGCCTGTCCAATTACGGCCATCAAAAGGTAGTATTTTTTCATCCGGATATTCTCTCATTTCCAAGACGTTTGTTGGCTTATACACTGAGTGATCACAAAAATGAGTCTGTCTGAGCCCTCGCTAAATACTGTGCATATTTAAAAACGTGCATCAAATTATTATATTGAAAAAAGTGTATTCCAGTGTTTTATTCCTCAGTGCTAATAACAATAGGCTTAAGAACATTGCATAAGTTAGTTTTGAATAAGTACTTGATTTTTATTTGTGAGTTGGGAAATCATTGTAGTAAACATTGTTTGCATACATACACTATAGGAGAACAGACAAAATCTAGCTATTGTGCCTCCAAGTCTAAGATACACACATCACTTAACATAATCTTTCAATCTAACAGTATGTTCTCTTTGTTAATGATTTTCAAAGACACTAGTAGAGTATCTATGCATTAGAAAACCAATGATCATTGAAATGAACTGGAAACTTGCCCAGACCAATTACTTCTCTATCAAGCTGTTTACAGTATTAACCACAGGAAACAACTGAAGCAGAAAGGTACAAATGGCTTTTCATTGGTACAGTCTACAGCAGATGCCATTTCAAGTGTGGCAGTGCTGTTGTCTCAAGCTGTCGCTGCTTGTGTCCACTCTGAGAATCGCATCGGTCTTTATTCTGCGACGAGAGCTTCAAAAGATCCACAATATCTGATTCACCAAAAAGTGAACCCATTTCTGTTTGGAAGATGACAGAAAGGTGAACTTCAAACCACTGCATATGATATAAAAGGCTCAACCTCAATCCACTTCAGCACCATGGATAGTTCCCACATGCCAAGAATCACTGTGGTCTTGCTTATAAACCACCCACGCTTCACTGGACAGAAATCAGGAGATGGCACAATCTTTTTTATCATCCCTCTTAATATTCTGCAAAGTAAATTATTCTGACAGACTACATTAACATTTGTGATCAAACAGGAAAGCCTGAGATTCAGCATTAAACATGGACCTTACACTTGTCACTCTGACTGTCCCCAGATTCAGGACAGAAAAGGGTATTCACGGTTTTTGCTCCTTCTGCATTTTACACAAATACTTGGACACTGAAAAAACTAGAGATGCAAATACTGACCTGGCAAAGTTAATTATTCAGCTAACATTTTGTTATTTTATCATCTCATAAAGAGGGGTTGAAGATCATACTAGGAATATTTGTATGTGTCAAACTTTGAATCATGCTAGTTGTCGTATGTGCATATTGTAAAATAGTGACTAAATATTAAAGGGTGGTGAACTTAGAACACTCCTAGCTCATTGACTGCCAGCCGGTTTAAATGATTTAACTGATTTTCAAGACCCACAGAATATTGTGTGCTCTGACGAATTATGAAATCAGATTCTGAAAGACTGGACTGGTCGACTTTCATCAGCAAAAATAAGTTGGTTTCTAGCTAGTTTAGTTTTTCAGTAATCCCCGGTCGAATTAAGGGAAGTTTGACAGAAATCTCCAGTCTCAGATATATATACGTCAATGGCCGTCAATCAGTTAAAAGGCCTTTAAAGCACTGTTTTGAGGTTGTATATTTGATACAGACCACACATCTGTTATAATCACATGTCGTGGTGTCTCTGCCAATTCTGAATTACAATACAATAATGTGCAATACAATAATAAAAAATGTAGTTATCCTAAATACCATATATTGTGTTTGACTTGTGCTACAAATAAACTTCACCTCGCCTTGGTTCAGTGCTGCATGTTTTGAAGCTGTAATTTTTAAAACAGAAACATTTAGTCCGGCTTGCTTCTTTTTGCATATTGTACATAGTAATTTTAATTGTAATAATTCTATTTTAATGTTATTCCTTAGAAGTGTATGCTGATTTTCATTATGCCTTACTCTATTCTCTATTCTTTACCTCTCTTTTCTGACTGTGACTGTGACTTCCTGTTACTTACATGACAATAAAAAAAATTCTGATTCTGATAGTGATTTTTGCCCTTAAATATAACCATTTGTCACATTTTTGTCAGCTTGCAGGACACACACATCAGTTTCCGATTCATTTTCTTTGCCATTTGCATTAAAAACCACATTGTAACACATGTGCTAAAGTGCCCAGTGTGCACCAGACAAGCACATACTGTAGATTAAAGGAATAGGCCACCGTTTTTACATACTGACATATGTTCTTACCTTACCTTAGACTAGTTGATATGTACCTGTCTGGTCTTTGTCCGTGCGCTCTGTCATGCAAACGGAGCACAAACGCAGCCTCTTCCACAGACTGTATAGTTCCAAATCAGCTCCCGTTAGAAGCTACCAAACTCTTCCACGTGTTCCCTATTTAAATACAGTTACGTGACGTGTTACACTACAAAGTATAGTAACACAGAAATGTAACATGTCAATTTTCTCAGCAGATAAAAAGGGGAACTATATTGTGAGGCGTAATAATACGAGGAGCACTACGTCCGCGCACTAACTCCTAAAGACTTCTCTCCCGCTCACTTAGTTAGTGCGCGGGCGTAGTGCTCCTCGTATTATTACGCCTCACAATATAGTACCCCTTTTCACGTAACTGTATTTAAATAGGGAACACGTGGAAGAGTTTGGTAGCTTCTAACGGGAGCTGATTTGGAACTATACAGTATGTGGAAGAGGCTGCGTTTGTGCTCCGTTTGCATGACAGAGCGCACGGACAAAGACCAGACAGGTACATATCGTCTAAGGTAAGGTAAAAACATATGTCAGTATGTAAAAACGGTGGCCTATAAGCTAAAAATAATACAAAACAAGAAACAATTGTCACTGTGAAACCAATCAACAAAAACAAAAGAAATCATAAGTGCAAGATTATTAAAGTGCTATGTTTGTACATGTGTTTTAATGTGTGTAACTTCGTGCAAAGTTCTGTAGTAGCTTCTTTACTCCATTGTTGTTCCGCGGTTGACTGTGAAATGCTTCTGCAAAGTGGAAGCTCTCAAGGTCAAGAGTTTTGTCTGGTCTGATTTTATATAACGCTTATATTGTACAGTCAGCTGCAGTCTGCCTTTTATTGACGGCTGTGTGGGCATGAATGAAACAAGTTTAATTTATTATTATTTTTAAGTTGCCCTTGGACTAGAATGGGAGCTGTTCTTTTTGTTCAGCCTGGTCTCATTCTCAAAACAGTTTAGTTTTGAGAATGAGAAATACTGATGGTATTTTTCATTTGGAATGTATTTTTTGGTCTTTTTCCTATCTTTAGATCAGTTTATTCAGACAGAAAAGTGCAAAATATGGGACCACCTCACTCAGCCAATCAGCCTTCAGTATGCAAAAGGTGCATAACATTTCACTTTTACATGACTCTTTCTTTCGGGACAAACATGTATTATTTATGAAAGAAGAAGGGATTAGGTACCCCAGCTTTAAAGAACAAATTGTGTGTCCATGTTGACCTTGAAATAACATAATCTTGAGACTATTTTATGTTTTAGTAGGTGAATGATTTGTTTAAAGATGTATGGTGGAAATAGAAAAGGCTCTCTGGTGAAACACAATTGCGGTAAATTATGCCTTTTTCATTAATATCAAACATGGCACGCTGTAATGTCAGGCTTGCGATGATTATTTGAGAAAGGCAGGTCACTCATATTGGCATGGGTCTCCAGGTCTTTCTCTTTTTTGGTGGGATGGGACAATGCTGCTGCAGACCCTTGTAAAGACATTGTAAGGCACTTTGAGTGACCTTGGTCTGTAAATAAACATTGCTTACTTACTTACCACTACAGTACTTACCCTTGACACAATAAGGAGTTTTGTAGTTTAGTTTAGTTTGGTTTAATTTATTATTGTTTGTCACACATTACATGCAGTGAAATTCTTATGCACCTCCAGCAGATGTTCAGTACAGTATAGTCGGAACAAAACAATAGCAGAATAAAAAGAAACAAAATAGAGACAGAGTCAGGCCCGGTTTACTTCTTCTGTTGTGCGCTCCTCGTAATGTGTTCCTGGGCCAGTTCTCAGATGCAGTTCTCCCATATTCAAGAGTGTCACACAATCAAATGTGATAAGACCCTGCCTGCGCAGGGCGTGCTACTCATGTATGTCTTGTGTATATGATAATAATAACAATAACAATTGTTGTTTTGTGTGTCTGTGCTTACTACAGACTTTATTGGAGACTCAAGGTCCAGATCAGGACCTTGAGTCTGCAAAAAGTAATCTATCTATCTATCTAGCTACTGTATATCTATCTATATAGCACTTCTCATGACACTCAAAGACGCTTCAAATATCGTTATTCTTTCACTCCATACACAATGGTGATAAACTACTACTGTAGCCACAGCTGCCATGGGGTACCGTCCTATCACCTACAGCCATTCACACACACACACCAGACTCATTATGTATGTTGTGTTTTTGTATCATGCATAAAGTGTCAGATTTAAACTGATTCATTCATCCCACCAGGGGCAATTCATTTGAGCAGCATAAGGCATAAATACACAATAATACACAGCATACAGTAAATGCATGCATGAAAAACACAGGATGTATATCAGAACAAGCATTTATTTTTTTATCATGTGGACTCTGCTATCTCGTGCCCACCTCAGCACAACAGCTGAAGAATGATGAAGGGAGAAGTCACACATGAAAGACAGTAAAACGCTCTAGTGATAAACAAATGAGTAATGCAGCAGGAGGAGATCCATCCAGGGCGTCTTTTTCTGTCCCACCTCTTGCTTTGTCCATATCTGGGCTTGTGGACGCATGAGCTCCCATTCGCCCACTGGTTCATTTGGGACCAGGCTTCCCCTTCGCGCTCATGCACCCACACGGGCAGCTGCGCTCTCGGGCTGGACCGTGGCGTCGTCGCTGGAGCCTCTCATGTTCAGGTGGAGCCTACCTACAGGATGCCCAAACGTCGCCGTCACCAGCGCCAGTCATTGGTGGAGCGGAGACAATGGTGCGCCCAAAAACTGAGTGGGAAATTTTCTGAATGAGCGCGTGGAGAATGCGTCATGTGCAACGTAACAGAAGGATTCCACATTATTTATGCAAGATTCACTTTGCAATGAGTTTATTTAAGGGTGGAGGGATTGTGATGATGAAGAGAAGATGCTAGACTATTTCTCTCAGCAGAATAAGCTTGGTTAGTTTGATTGATTGGAGCTTAACTTGTTTCCCATGGGCCCATACTGTATAAATGTGAAACCGGGGAAGGACCCAAAATACAGGAATGTAAATGTCGGGCGGCACGGTGGCTGAGTGGATAGCACTCTCGCCTCTCAGCAAGAAGGTCCTGGGTTCGAATCCCGGCTGGACCAGGGCCTTTCTGAGTGGAGTTTGCATGTTCTCCCCGTGTCTGCGTAGGTTTCCTCCGGGTACTCCGGTTTCCCCTACCACAAAAAATATGTACAATAGGTCTGGCATGCGCCTCCTGTTCGGCGACCCCGCTCCCATCTCTGTGTGGAGTGAGAGGATAAGTGCCCAAAAAATAACAATTGTAAACCGCTTTGTGACTCTGGTCTGTGAAAGGCGGTATATAAATAAAGCTTACTTACTTAAATATCATAATTTAATGATAGTAAAAAATAAAAGTCTATGGTAAAAAATAAAATAAAAATCCAAACGGGAACCAGGAACATAGACAGACATAGACAGAGGACATACACAGGTGAACACATGAGAAAGGGGCAGACAAAAAAACACGGGAGCACGACAGGAAATACAACCAAACAACAAGAGAACTAATAAATAAAACCAGTACCAAAAGTTCCAAATAACAAAATCCACCCTTGACACATACAAGGGTCATCTTCATGTATTTGTTTATTTAATTTTTGCAGTCAATTGATGAAATTTACCATAATTCTCTGGTATTAGGTGGAAAAGGATCAGCTTCTCTCGTGACCAGGGCTTAGACCCAGGAGGTTTGCACGTCCGTAATCCATTATCATTAATATGAATTCCCACCTCCCCATGTCAGGCCATATATTCCTGCTAAGCTCTAATAGCCAAACCTTAACACACTTTTTATGTTCAAATGCTATTGCAGACACAAAACCAATCTGATCACAGTAGCCACCGGTGATTTCCAACACCAGTCCTTTGGAGAGCATTTCACAGATCAGATTTCACTAAAGGGAACAATATGTTTTGCCACTATAAATTTGCATTTTGATACAGTAAGTGCAGTGATTAGCAGATTCACATGTACACACTCTCTCCCCTCACACGGTTACACGGCTGCTGAATGAACCAGGACCTTGTTAGCTTCGAACCGTCTGGATATTGTCTGGATGTGACCAAGAGTGTCACCGAGAGAACATGCAAATTGACTGGTTTAAGTGCTAGCGAGTCCATTCGTTTAAGTATAGAAAATAAATATGCTTAATATACAATAATTCATCATGTTTAATATATAGACAGTGGCGACATTTTGACAGATATTTTGTATAAAACATGGAAATGTATCGTAAAAAATGCTCGAGATTTGCTTCTAACTCCACTCTACTCGTTTCACTTAATTCTGTCCGCACAAATTCGTTTTTATTTAAATTTTTTTGCAGCTGTGAGTGACGTCAAACTCCAGGTGTGATGTTCCGCTCGGAGAAGAGAGGTGTGTCTGTTTCCATGGATACCACATGTTTCTCTCCGGCCCCACGTGGATAAAAGTAATGGTTCTGTCAATCGAATTACTCCTTCCTCCAGGCCGCAAACATCTGGGTGAAGCGTCTGCTTCACCCAACCCCCTTTTCAAAACTTGTGACTCTTTTTATTTGATAACTGATATTTGTACTTGTTTTTGTGCAGGTTTTGAAATAAATAAATAAATAAATAAATAAAAATCTATTCTTCCTTGTTTTTATTGGTTAATGGATCGCACTGAATCATTCATAAGAAGATTCATGTTGAAGTCTAAAAAAACTCTACAAACTTTTGTCCCAAAGGTGAATAAACACATTTCTTATTATTCACGAAGACTGAAAACAAAGCCATTGCTCTGCTCCAGCGAGTGACATCTTCCCAAACAGGCTCTGTATTAGCGCATCACCACTTTCTTTTTTTTTGTGTGATTCTTTAATATGGCCGCTGTTGTCATGCTCGTCACTGCTTCCGCTTTGCCAAAATTAGCTTCTTTCCACAGCAGCTCACTGTCTACAACACAAAACGAGACAATGTCACTGTTGTCTTCCGCTGCTTATAAGGCCACAGAGTTCAGGAAGCACCATCACTCTGCCTTTTATGGACCGTCCGGCATCCACTGAAGTTGAACAAAATCGTTTTCTCGCATGCAGTTGTTCAGGTCGTGGAGAGAGATCCTGCAAACGGTGAACTTAATGCTTGTTCTCCCTGTGTCTTATTGGGTGCGTTTCGAGAGTCTACCTTACCATTCTCTGTATTGTTAGTGTTTATTATGCTTCCATGGACGGTTCTTTTGGTGGACAATGAGGTCTCTGCACTGGCTTCCTGTGGCTCGGAGAATAGACTTTAAAACAGCTCTGCTTGTGTACAAGTCTCTCCATGGCCTCGCACCAAAATATATTAGTGACATGTTAGTCCCATTTGAACCAGCCCGGACTCTGAGGAGCACAGGGACTGGACTCCTGTTAGTGCCCAGAGTCAGAACTAAACATGGGGAGGCTGCTTTTCAGATTCATGCCGCTAAAATCTGGAACAATCTTCCTGAAGATGTGAGACAGGCCTCCTCTCTGACAATGTTTAAAACCAGGTTAAAAACGGTGCTGTTTAGCTGTGCATACAACTGAGGGATTTTATATTTGTATCTTTCTTTTTAATGTTCTGTGATTATTTATGATTTTAAGCTTTCTTATTTTGTTCAGCACTTTGAGTTGCCTTGTGTATGAATTGTGCTATACAAATAAACTTGCCTTGCCTTGCCAAAAGATTTAATTTAAGATTCCAACATAATTTTATGTTAATAATTTATAATTTATTATTAAGACTTATCTGAGAATTTTAGATAAAAATAATAATATTAAAAATAATACATTGGTTTTATATAGCGCTTTTCAAGGCCTCAAAGATGCTTCCCAGTTCTGGACACACACATATACAACTAAAAATCTAAAAGCAGGAATTAATGGTTGCATGCTTGAAGGAAGAGATGAATTTGTAACAGTTTTTTGAAGGAGTTTAGAGAGTCCGAGTTTCTGAAGTGAGGGGAGAGAGATTTCCAGAGAGCGGGAGCAGAGATGGCGAATGCACGGCCTCACAAGGTTCGGTAAAAAATGTGTTGCTTTGCAAGATTTTACTTACAAATGTTGCTGATTCTTGCATGTTTGAGTATTTTTATGGCCTTTAATTCTGACATGTTTCAGTGTTCTTCCAGGTGTTGGTGTTCAGAAAAAAAGTCTATTTCGCCTACCACCATGCCGATTGCCCTGCCCATTTAACATTACAAACATGTCAATGATCATCAGGCAACAATGAGTTATGATCTGGGGACAATAGAAAATTAATAGGGTTGAATTTATAGCATGTTGTTTTGATTCTCCTTAAAGTGATTGTCTGGAGTTTGTCAGAAAGAGAGAGAGAGAGGTACTTGATTTGAAAAAAACGAGGCAAGCTCCCTCCCCCTTCCTCTCTGATTGGTCTACGCCTACATTTCCGTAACACTTTTAAATGGTAATCAGAGAACACATTATACATGTACATTATTAATACACATGCACGGAGGTTTTCAGAATTATTTGTTAACAATTTAATGAAAAAAATAACGTTTTTATGCACAAAATAAGCGATCGCGGCAAACCAGGAACAAGCTATTATTATCAATTGCACATTATAGAACACATCTGCAGAGGATCTGATTATGGATATAGGTTCAGTATATACATAAGTAACTCAGCGTGGATGTTCAGAATTCTTTGCTCAGTTTTCATGTAGTTCCAGAGCCTAATGGAGGCTTGATTCGGAGGCTCCGCAAAAACAAACAACTGCTCATGCGCGCAGCTACGAGCATCAGCGCCTTGGCATGACTCAATTGGTTAACCTCGACGGCATCGTGGATTCTGAGCTATAGCTAAGAGAAGGGAAGGTGGGACTTGCCCGTAATATTAGAATTAATAAAATGACTTATTTTATATCAACATTTAAGGCCAGGAGGTCAATTTAACACATTTCCTAACATTTGTAATGCAGCATATAGCGAACAACATGTACAACAATGGACCATAGGAAATACCGAATTCCCCAAAGCCAAGTCTTCTACAGTAGATCCTGGGGCAGGTCCGTGAAAAAGCATGGGACAAATTCTTAACGGAAAGAAAATTAGTATTTGTCTGTACTTTTGTACGTTTGTCTGTGGTCATATCAATTTAAAATGTCCTATTTTGTTATTAACTACAACAGATGTCTCGACTTAAGTGTTTTTAAAAATATTGATGTCTGATGGTATGTGTTTATGTTGCTATACTGCTGTGATAGAAAAGCTGTTGAAAAGCAGTGGTCTGTTGGGGATTTCTTGAAGAGTTTTTGTTTTGGCCAAAGAATTTCACACATACTCGAACCAGAAGTCTATGCACATTTGGGATCTCTGGTGTAAATTAGCGCTATGTAAATAATATTCTGGATGTGTGATGGAGAAAAGCTGTGCAGTTGTTTGTCTCTGGTGTTCTCCGCTCATGATACTTAATTCATGCACAAGTCGTAAAAGTGAGAGCTGTAAGGACATTCAAAACAATACATTGTCTTTTAGCTGCGTGCTATGGATTCATTAATTTAAATTCAAGCAAAAAAAAGCCCTCCCTTTGTATAAAAGTTGGGGTTTTGGTCAAATTATCAATGCCTAATGAGACAGTATCTTTACTCTATTCAGTGTTTCTCAACCAGGGGTATTACAGGGGGTACGTGAAAATATTTTCAAAACGTTTTTCTTCTAAAAGGTAAATATACATAATGTTTAAGCCAATTCTCTCAAAAAAACAACCATACCAATTATTCAAAACATTGAACCAAGAACACTCAACAACATTCA